GCTACAGAAGAACATCGATTACGTGTGTAGCAATGGAGTTGATTGCAAGCCCATACAACAAGGGGGGCCTTGCTTTGTCCCTGATACTGTGAAGTCACATGCATCATATGCAATGAATGCCTTCTATCAGGCCTCTGGTCGTCATGACTTCGACTGTGATTTCAACCACACTGGAGTGCTCACCTCCATTGACCCAAGTAAGCTCTCCTGGCCTTCTTCCTCACCTCGTTAAAAAAATAAAAAGCACTTTGATTTGTGTGGCTAAAAGCTGTCTTGTGTGACGTATATTGTGGTGGAAGGTTACGAGGCGTGTGATTATCCGTTCGATGGGCTAAAGTGGCAGCAAAAGTCGGTAGCGGGAATCTCGAGGAGATTGTACTGCACCGTTGAAGAGATTCTTATAGTGGCTTCTGGTTTGATGTGTATCCCCTTTTTTCTTTTTTAGTATGGAGGAGCCGCTTGTTTCTTGCCTTGTAGTGGGCTTAAATGGTGGTTGGGCAGTTGGCCTTTCATTTATTTTTGGGCTTTAATTGGACGGGTAGGTTCACTATTGTTTGATCCGGTATGGCGAGACGATGTATCTTTGTGCCCGAGTTAAAACCAAAACAAAAGAGATCGGTTTAAATATACGATTCTTTTAACAAATTTATTAGATAAAAAATTCATGAAATTCAAAAAAAAAAAAAAAACAAAGAACCTATGGATTCAATGTCACTTTCTAAAATTTATGATACATGTATTGAGTACAGGTTCAAGGAAAACATTCTTCATAAAAAAAAAGTTCCTATGGATTTTAAGATGTAATAATATAAAAAGGGAAAATAACAAAAATAAAAATAAAAATTAACTTGCCCTTTTCTTTTAGCATTGGCGTCGGTGGTTGCCAACTTTTTTTGACTAAGAGGTGGTATTTTATGGTGTTTTAGTAAAGTATTTAACATAAATGGAAAGAAAATTGATTATAGACAGGCACACCAACCTATGGGATTGGACAGAACTGGCGGGGGTGATATTATGGATGCTAAACAAAATTTTTAATTATTTTAGTTTTGTTTTTATCCCTTGCGTTTTGTTCGGTAACTTTTTTTAAAAAAAAATTGACGAATGTCAATTTCGTTGTAAAGGACCGCATTAAAAATATTGTAAAGGATCGTATTAAAAATATTAAAATAATATATTTTTTAAAAATTTTATTTTTAATATTAGTATACTAAAATAAACTAAAAAAATAATTAATTTTTAATAAAAAATAAATTTTAATGCACATATATTTGAACCGCCCTCCTAAATAGTTGAATTTTAAATAAAAGAAACGGTTAAATTAGAAATTTTTAGGGATGCTTAAGCATGTCTTTGAGTGAAATAATAATTATTTTTTAATATATTTTTATTTATAAATATATTAACATCGATATAAAAATATAAAATAAATAAAAATTTAAAATTCTGTGGACACCACGTTCCAAACAGGCACATAATGTTATCTTATCTCATTCGTAGTTGAACATGTGGAGTGCACCTAAGAAACGGAACCCAAAATGTACGATCACCTCCGCTTCCTCCACCACCGCCGAACGCTAAGCTTATGAGGTTTTGAAGAGGAGGAGACCCGGTCAAATTATATATATCTTTAATTGACTCGATCCTTAATTCATAAGCGACTGAACAAACAAGTAATATGTTACATTACAATTACAATTATAATTATAATTATGGCTACAATAATAAAACAAAATCCCATTTCATCGTAACTTACTGTAGAAGAGGGCACAATTCACTATAAACGACGAGTTTCGATTTTTTTTTTCCAACAAATTTTATATTTTTATAATTTCATCCTCTCGAATTATATTAGCACCATTTTATATGTTATCATTTGCTTCTTTTTATATATGTCCACCCCTGGCCTTTTTTATATTATCTTTTATTTTTAATTACTTTTTTATTTTAAATAAAATTCACTATAAATAAATAATGATATTTAAAAAATTATCCACACTTCTCCAAGTTTTCAAATAAGATTTTAGTTCTTTAAGATAATATTAAAAATTAATTTATGAATTATTATATGTGAACCTAATATGCAAAGTTTATAAAAAAAATATGCTCATAAATATTAAATGAGAATAAAATAAAATAATTATTATTTTTTATTGTAAAAGTTTTATATAATTTTTTTATAATAAATATATTTTTTCTATTTTTTATTAAGCCTTGCTTTTAACATAATAAATTTCTATTTAAAAAGCAATAATTTTCATAAAAAATAATAATAATAGAAGAATGAAAGAGAGTTATGATTGAAAAGATAAATTATTGATTGAGATTTTTATAAATATTTATTTTAATGGTTTTTAGTTTTTTATTCAAAAATCATGGTACTGATAAAAAAATATTTTTATAAAAACAAAAAAAACACATTAATTAAAAAACCTACCTGATAATATATATATATATATATATATTTTATTTATTTATTTAAAGTTAAATTGTTACTTTTTTATAAATATCTATCTTAACTGCATGAGAACAAAATAAACAATCCATCCTTCTCTGTTTTGCCGACACAAAAGTTACTACTAATCACGAACACAAATATCGTCTAGAGCTAGAAAGCTGAGGTCGAAGAATTGAAGCGAAGAAGAAAGAGAAACAAGAAAGAATCAATATGCCAAGAAGCAGTTTCGGGGCTTCTTTCGCAACTCCAAAACTTAATGTGGCAATCGACACGGGCAATCCCTTCCTCAATGTCACCGTTGATGGTTTCTTGAAGATTGGCACCGTACGTATAGTTCTTCCTTTAATTTCTCTGTTCTTTAATTTGTTTCTCTCCATTTCTTGAACTGCGTACCATTTGCCATGTTTTGTTTCAGGTTGCAGCAACTAAATCACTTGCTGAGGATGCATACCATGTCGTCAAAGGAGGTGCTCAATCTGATTCTCTCGTATTTTCTTTCAAACTCACGTGAATTATAAGAAGGTGTCATCGTATAATTAAGAAGCATGTTTTTGGTTATCTACAGGAGTATATTGTGTTTAGATTATCAGATCATATTGCACACAAAATCAGTTAATCACTACTAATCTTATCTGATTACCAGTTCTAGACTACAGTAACCGGCTGGTTTTTTGCAGGGAATTTCTCAGGTCGCAAGATTGAGCATTCGGTGAGCATACATATATAGGAAATAATTATGCTTTACGCTCCTCCAATTGTTTTTGGTGATGTTAGTGAGTTATGTCTTGCATACTATAATACAAGTCTGCAATTTGTTCAGATTTCTCAAGTTACATTTGTTGATGAACCGATGCCAATTTGAAATCAGTGGAAGAACGAGTTGATTTAATAGTCATATCATCGACTAATGTTTCCTCCATCTATAAATTCTCCGATCCATGATGGATATGTTCAAATGCGGCTACATGCTTTACCTGCTCTTCTTAGTTTAGTCTTCTTGATATTTGTATATATCTGCAATTGCCCTAGATATCCAAGAACGATGTAAGACTCTGGTTATTCTAGGAAGATCATTAACCAGCTTTTGTTAATGACATGCACTAGCCAAATGGTAGCCATGGAATGATGGTATTTCGAAATTTGTGTGAGGCCAGTTGCTGCTTCATACTCTTTGGTAAAAAGGTAGCCACAAAGTTTCATTTTCCACTAGGGATGTCTTATGGTTGCATTTCAATGTGAAGCATCATCTTGAGAGTTGGGGTTCCTGTAGAGGACTAAAGTCAGCTGCAGCCTTTTGGATTATGGGTAATTGTTGATTTTGAAGTTCGAATTGTCTCACGGGACAACTCAAACCAAATATGTAGGGAATAGTTGTTGATGGTCGAACAAAATTAGCCTAGAAGATTTCTGGTAGCTAGTTTGAGTTGATAGTCAAGGTAGCAACAAGTGAAGAATGCAAAAAATTCTCTCTTTCATACTAATGTAATTGCTGTTGTTGCAGTTGAAGAAGATGTGCAAGGAAGGTGCTTATTGGGGTTCGTATGTGCTGCCTTGCATACTATATTTAGCCAACCTTTTCTGTTAGGGAAATTCTTCAGTTGCCTTGTGTCGGTAAAATTAAACAGCTTTAAGAATTTCTCATACTGAATGTGCAGGAACTGTTGCTGGCATGTATGTTGGGATGGAATATGGAATGGAGAGAATTCGTGGCACTCATGACTGGGTACGTTGTTTGTACCTTACTATATGAACTATAGTCTCAATGGGGTCCGAATATAATCATAAGAGAATTCAACAACGAGGTTGCTGGTTCTTTTAACCTTTTCTTTTCCAGTTATAATCCTTCTTTCTCAAGAACACTTGAGTTTGCATCTACTTTGATTGTGAGACCCGAGAACAATTTTTGGGGACAGATCATGTTTGCTGCGCTAAATGATTGCTACTTCTGCTGGTGTGCATCTTGCCAAAATTAGAAGGATATGTGTGATAAACTAAGTTTTCAAAGACAAAATCTGTGGCTTGAATTGTATAAATACGCACCGCTTTTTACTCCATAAAACTATTGCAACTAAGATTATTTTGGTCATTCAATTTCATTCTGCATAAAACTTTATTTGCTGGTTGATGGTTAACATGATGTTGGAACTTAGAGTTCCAGTGTCAGTCCTTTTCTGATACAACAGAGCATGTGTGTGTGTGTGTGTGTGTGTGTGTCTGTGCGCAATGCATGCTGTGTGAGCATCCAACTTATACTTTCCGAATATATGTATATACTCTTATTTCTATTCAACAGCTTTACTTCTAACGGTATTTGTTCGGCCATTGAATCCATTGCAGAAGAATGCCATGCTTGGAGGTGCTTTGACAGGAGCTCTGATATCTGCTGCCAGTAACAAGAATAAAGACAATATTGTAATGGATGCCATTGCTGGGGGTGCCATTGCAACTGCATCAACATTCCTCAACTATCTCATATGATCATGGAAATGTATAATTTCTGCTGCCAGTAACAAGAATAAAGACATTACTATGATTGATGCCATTGCTGGGGATGCCATTGCAACTGCATCAACATTCCTCAACAAGCTCACATGATCATGGAAATGTATAAACTTTCCCCTATCTCACTGAACTGCTGTGAGGAAGCATTAAAAACTATGTTGATTTTCATGTTAAAGTAAAAATATGCAAGGAAACTGACATTGATGCAATGATTTGTTTCCATCTATTTCCCGCAAGTGTTCTTCTCTGAATAAAAAGTCGCCTTTTCAAACACCAATGTTGAAAATCTTTGGAATGCTTAGATATAAAAATGAAATGTTCATATAAGTAGTTATTAGCAAGGGAGGAAAAAAACCCTGTGAACGGTATAGCATCACGGTCTAGCTAGTTTACATGGTACCTGATATTCATCCTCTTCTTTCATTTGCTAATAACTGCAAAACAATGCCCTTTAATGATCATTTACAGCAACGTTCATTGCTGCTCCCTGTTCACGAGTTGAATCAGATTTGCTATTGTTTTACCATAGAGTTTGCTCTTGTCAGTGTGTTTTAGGAACGTGGTAATATTGTTTTTTAAGTGCTTTTTATTTTAAAATATATTAAAATAATATATTTTTTTATTTTTTAAAAATTATTTTTGATATTAGCATATTAAAATATCTAAAAATATATATAAAAAAATATTAATTTAAAATTAAAAAGATTCGAATATTTTTAAAAACATTTTCAAAACATAATCTCAACCGTAGCAAAAAACTGGAAACAACACTTCAAAATACAAAACACAAAATATTAAAAAGTACATCTCTTGGTTTAAGAAAATCAATATTTTCATGCAGCTAGTCCTGCCGGATTTTTCACGACAATTGAACTGTGTTTTTCTTAAAATGGGCTTTTGAAAAGGGTAATTTCAAAAAGAAGTAGCAAATTATGTATTTCTTCAAAATACAATCAGCTTTGATCAAGGAACTAAATTATGATTTCAAAACCACATGGACTAAATTATAATTTACTCAAAAGTTATTGACAAAAAGAACTAGATTTGTCTGCAAGCACTCAACCAAACGCGTTCATCTCTCATACCAACACATCATAGTATGTGACAATGTGAACAACACAACATCTAATTAGCAAATATTACTTCTTCTGTTTCGTTGCTTTGATAATACAAGAAACAGATTATAGTTTTTATTACTGCATTTGAAAAAAGGAATCTGCAGATGAAATACAAGTAGCAGAACTGGATGGAAGAGTCCCAGAAGAATTAGACAAAACATAACATCAAGACATCGACAATGATAAATGAGCCACTGAAGATGTATTTGGCAAACAGATTACCAGTCCAAGAACTAAAAGTTGCTGGAAGGAGCATAACAAACCGGAGAAACTTAAGAAGTTGCACCCAAGAGAAAGCAGAAAACAATACGTAGCAGTCCAAGCAGATAGGAACCACCCTACAATTAGCTTGGAACTATTTTCTTCTTCTTTATTATTATTAAAATACTAAATTGCTCCTCTCAACTTGTTAATAATACAAAAAAGCCATGATAAAAGTAGTAAAAAAACCACTAATTAAAGAAACTTGCTTTTAAAGCCAATTCGTATGCTTCTAGAAAATAAAAATTCAAAAATACCTCTACAAACCAATTAATTGAATTCTGATTTTAGAGAAATAATATTATTTTACTGTAAAACAATAAAAAAAAAATGAAATTATCCCTGCATAATTCTATTCACAATACACTAAAATCCTGGGCTACAATACCTTTTCCATACTCTTTAGGTTTTGTTAAGAGGATGCCATGAATATGTAATACCAATATTTTATAATAAAATAAATTAGGGGACCTGACCTGGCTATTACACAAGGCAAGAATTCTTATACGTATTTGGGCCAAACGTAAATCATTGCAAGAAGATACGGTTATCAACTGCATCATTTCAGAGCAAATGAAAATTCTTGTTAATAAGTCATAATTCATAATTCAACTGATATTAGTATTTCACTGCAGTAAGAACTGAAGACATAAATAAAAACTCCTTGCAGTGAAACCAACAAAGCAGGAGGGAAACACAAAACACGAACAGAGCAGTAGCCATCAAATGAGATCCTACATAAAGGATTCGAGCAACCCATGGCTAGCTGCACTTTTATTTATACCAAGCACTATATCAGAAATAACTTCTCCTTTTTATTTATAAGAGGCCATATGACTGTCTGGTTCGAGCCATGCGGCTACGTTTCCTCATTTGCAGGAGCATAGATCACAGGTGCCGTTGGACCCACATTTGCAGTCATTCTCAGCACCGAAGCTCATCTTGGACCCCTCACAGAACCTGCAGTACCAGTAGCTGCTAATCATTACTTTATATCCCTGTCAAATGGAACTGTGATCAATGAAATTAAGTAATTTAGCTCAGTCAGCATGCTATTGTTCATCCTTTTATTGTGCATCCAGTTATAAATTACTGTGAATTGAAAAAATATATTAAAAAAAACATATTAAGCAAGCAGTTAAGAGTAAAATTGTATTTTTTAATAGACTACATTTTACATTAAAAAATAATAAAAGATAAAATGATTAATTAAAATTTTTTTAACTACAATATAAATATTAATTTGTTATTCAAGACATAAAATTTGAACTTTTAAATTGGGAGTCTTTTTGTTTTTTTTTAATAAATAAATAATGAAGATAAAAGGAGAAAAACATGCATGTTGATGGATTTTTTAAAAAAAAAACAGTCAAAATTATAAACATGAATTGCCCAACAGAGATACGACCGGACAACGTACCAAACATAACACGCTTGGATGTGATGGTTAGCCATATCTATAGTAACATGAGTCTGACATATGTAGTAGATATAAAATACTGAGACCTGGTAGGCTATCAAATTCAACTTAAATTTTCAGCTACCATTGTAATAACCGATAAGCCCGCAACAATCCACATTCCATCTATTTAGTAGGGGTGAAAAAAATTATAAAAAAATTGATTAAATCGAAAAAACTTGACCATAAAAAACCTAATTAAACTAATTAAATTTTTAAAAAAACCAACCTATTTTGTTTAATTATTATTTTATAAACCAAAAGTAAAAGAACCAAACCATATCCAAACCGAGTCGAAACCCGACTCTGGACTTAGACTGTGTTGACAAGTCAACCCATAATTCCGCACCAGGATCTAACTTTTTAACCAAAAAACGACGTGCATTTCTTTTCTTTTTTGTCATGATAAAAAAAAGCCCAGCTCCAAACGAGCTCGAAATAAAACCTAGGTGGGCCAGGATCCAGCCGGTAACAGGGCTGACCCGTCAAGTAGGTTTCATAACTATGGTATCAACTACGCACTGTGACCGGTGGCGGTAGGCACGTACATTTTAACCGGAGCAACACCAGCTATGACTGTCTGAGTTGTGGAGGTCTCAGAGAAACCCAAGTCTGGGTACATGCCGCATCTGCCAAGAGGATAACATTACAAGAACAGAAAAGCTGAGAGTCAGATTCATTTGGAATTTTATGAAGCAATTAATAATAATAATACTAGCATGTTAACAGGATCAGCAAATTAATATTTTCCAAAAGAGGAAAGGAATACCCATTGCAGCCACTGCCGCAATTGCAGCCAGAGCCACAGCCACATTTTCCTCCGCAGCAAGACATTTTCTGCTGGAAAAGTACGATAAAATTAAGGGATTTTACTTGGAAACTTAATGCACTCAGCTTAGGATGATTTATAAGGCTCCGCCCTTACCTGCCATTTATAGAGTAGTTTAGGCAAAGGGTAGTCAATATCCACCATACACGTGGTTAAATCTTAGGTCAATAGCGTCTGCAATAGAGAATATCTGATAAGGGCACTGTCCTCTCTTTCGTCGTTACTTATCCTTTTCATCGAAATTACAAAATAACTTTCACATTAATTAAACAGAAGTAGATTAATTTGATGCTTAAAAAACTTTATTCACTTCATAAAATAGAATAAAATAAAAATATTTTTAAAAAAAATATACTTTTAGAACATAAAAAAATATAAATATAAAAAAAAACTCCCAAAAAAGATAAATCTTAACCATTATTGAGTGAGGGGTCTAATCATGGAATGGAAGGAGAGAGCTTATCCATCCAGCGTGGGGGTATCGAATGCCTTTAAGAAACCAAGAAAGCATGATGCATGATGAACCATGCTGCTTTAAAGAGAGATCAATCCTATATTTTTCAACATTTGACATGCTCTTTTGTTTTAGACACTAGATCGACTTCATATTCTTAAATTATGCATCACTAATTTTCCTGTTTAATTAACATGATACTTTAGCGTGCACAAATAGTCATATTCATCATACTGGTGCTGCAAAAATTGTACCTATACAAGAAATGAAAAAAATTTCCTTCCTGAAATTATTATTTTTTCCCAGTGGTTCAAACGCCTTGCTTGATTAAATACGATCATCACAAGGCTAAGGGATTAAGCTTGTCAGATGGAAATTTACTTGGTTGATCACACTTTTGTCAAGTCTCACGGGGAATTTTTTAAAAGTACAGTAATTGTAATTTTTTAAAGTGTTTTTTTACTTGAAAATATATTAAAATAATATATTTTTTTAATTTTTTAAAATTATTTTTTACTTTAAAATATTAAAATAATCTGAAAATATTAATTTAAAAAATAAAAAATAATTAAGTTTTTTCAAAAACATTTTTAAAACAATTAATCGTTTATAATGGTTTAATTTGATGCTGATTAATATTTCGCTATCAGTCACTACTCGGCTGGATGTCACCTTTCTGTGTTAGATGTAATGGATCCTGGTCTACGTTACAGGGACGTACGTCTACTTCAAACTTGGGTTCGTGCAAATTCATCGAATGCAAGAAAGGAATCAATAATGGAGTTATGTTTTCTACAGTTTAGATACAGTACTGCAGGGAAGTGTAAGAGGGCTTCTGGTCCGAAAATCCACTAGCTCCTGGATCCCTTTTCACTTATGCTGCAAAAAGACTGCTATCTGTAATGATATCTGGTCTTGATGTTCCTCTTCGACCACCTCATCTTCAATTCCTTAGAACACGGTGAGACTTCTCTTTTTCATGTAGCAATTAATGGTCTTTTGTTTTTCTTTTTCATGTCAACAGGAAAAGAACAACCTTTTTTTTTTTTTCGTGCAATCAAGGACTTGTGGATGCTTTGAGCCCTGCGTTTCTCAGGTCATATGACAAGGATGAATGAAACGGTGGATAAGAGAGGCAATGATTCCCGTTGTTAGTGTGCAGTGGGGCTTGAATGCCCCGTGTCCTTCGATAGTGGAGCTTGCTTTAGGGAGTGAATTATTCTCTTCAAACTCCAAATTTTGTTTACTATTCTCTCTTCTATAAAAGGTCTGATTTGTTTTTCCTGTTTGCGTAATATAATATATTGTTTCAAGGCTAACTTTTGCTAGACGTGACTAGAGGCCATGTTCATATTCCTGATCTGAAATGAGTCCATGTGCATAAGAGAGAGGTGGAACTATAGACTAGAGGCCGATGATGCTGAAATCCACTACTGATGTTCAATGCTTTTGCATTTGTCGGCATTTCTTTTAGCATATGACTTGCCCTGTAAGGACACCACAAAAACAAAGTGCATGACAAGTCCCGCAGTTTCCGCCACGCTTAGCACTGGACCTTCATTTTTCAGCCATTTAAGAGCTCCAGCAACTCTGTATTCACAAGCACTTGCAATACCAATTATCAATTGATATCCTGTTTCATGCACGGAAGGAGAATCCCGTTTGATGTTGGAGCTGTGCTCCTAAAATCTCTAATGAAAAAAGTACAGAGGAGCAGAAGGGAAACTCTAGTCAAGCACATACGAGAAATAGATGGATGCGTTAAGAGTTGACTCGCTATGACCTTGGGACGCAGGATTGTCTGTTACTAGCTCATACGGTGAGCTTTTTGAATGGAGCTTCCTTTCATACATATAGGGTGGCTCTCACAGCGAACTCTGTTAGACTGTTACTAGCGCATAAAACCATTGTAACAACAGAAACAAGGGCACTGGAAACTCAACAAAAACTGAAATCAGATAGAAATCGAGGAACAATTGATGTCAAATGCCCGCATCCAATGCCAGAAAACCAGAACAAGAAAAAATCACTCGTCGTGTATTCTGCTGCCTTCTCAGTTAAAAGCTATAACTAAACTTTGCAAATGCAAGCACCGCAAGTGAAACTTTGTTCCATGCTAATAAAATTATGGAAATATATGTTGGCTATCATGGATTAAGTATACCTCATGTAGAAACCTTGGAGCTAGGAGGTAATATTTAAATCATCGTATCTGAGTTTGATATGAAGAGCGTGGATTAGGCACATGAACTTCACAGGTATTTGAAACAATTACAGTATCCAAGTTTCAACTGATAAACAGTAGAAAGAGAAGCAAAACTCGTTCCAGCAGAAACTTCAATTACCACTTACCAGATGAGTTGCAGCCAAAAAATAGCACTTTTGAAGAAGCCCCGAGCTGTTATTAGTGTGCTATGCTGGGCAAAAATTTTCTATAGCAGCGTGTCATAACTTTAGATTCACTATCTCCATTAAACTTATCAAGAACAATCAATGTTTTCTAAAATCAGTCTCTGTGATTCTCTGCTATCCATGAGCATCCTAAGACCAACTTTTAGCTCCGGTACCCCCTCCCCCAAGACAGCACACACTGGATACAAAGGAACACCTCGCACCCTTCCTTTCAATTCTTCATACACATCTTCAGCACCTGCCTCGTCAATTTTATTTGCCACTACTAAGGCTGGCCGATTGGACAGACCCTCTTGATGGTGCTCAAGCTCTAACACTAAATCTTTCAACTGTTCCCATGGTGGAAGTCCTTTGTTACCATTCAGTGCAGCAGCCAAGTCAATCACATAAGCCAAAACCTTTGTGCGTTCAATGTGCCGCAAGAAAGCATGTCCAAGTCCACGATTCTCATAAGCACCCTTTATGAGTCCAGGAATGTCAGCCACTGTGATTGAGATGTCCTCAAAATTTACTTTCCCCAAATTTGGTCTGAGAGTCGTGAAGGCATAGTGGCCTACAGCGGGTTTAGCCCTTGATATAGCTCCAAGAAGAGTACTTTTACCAGCATTTGGCATCCCTACGAATCCAACATCAGCAATGCTCTTCAATTCTAATACCAGAACAGCCTCAGAACCAGGTAAACCAGAACTAAGGGTGGATCGATCCTCATCGGGTGTTTCAGGATCTAATGCACTATTTCTACTGATGCCAGGCTTGCAAGGCTTGGCAATCTTTGAAACATTTGCAAGAGACATGTTACCCAAACCCCCCTCCCCCCCATGAGCGACAATTATTCGTTGACCTTGTTTTGTTAATTCTGCAACATTATATTGTATATCTTCCACCCCTATTGACTCATATTGAGGGGCTTGTTTGCTTATTGTCCCTGCACCACAAGGTGATAAGCCACTAGTGCAATCCAATGACACGACATCTTCAGCCAGTTCCACATTCTTATCTGACTGGTCAGTGTCAAGGTTGCCTGGAATGTCCCAGGGGTCCAAATCTGTCGTAGAACAGTTTTCTACAATAGATGGAACCTCACCCTTTATGAGATGAATCACAGTGCCAACAGGTACTTGAACAACCTACCAGAAAAAATTTCTTTTTAAGGAACCACTGCACTGCCATTTTCAAATAAACAGCCAAACAACAGAAAGATCATTAAAAAATCTCAAGGTTAACAAAGCATAAAAATAACACCTTATCCTCCCCCCGAGATCCTATCATATTCTTAGAGGCTCCATGACCCCCTTTTGCTGCAATCTGCAGGATAAACATGATTAGAAATCAGATCTCTTAATGCCAGAAGACCAAGCTCTATGATTGAAAATGTCTGTAATTCAAGGATTAAGTACAATGTGATGTTGCAAACCGCTGAAGTCCCAAACTGCAGAAGAACATTCTAAAATCACATCTCCCCCTCTACCACCATTTCCACCTACATAATTAAATCCACGCATGAACCAAAAGTATTGCTATAAGAAACATGTCTTAAATTTCATTTTATTTATTTCTTTGGTCATCAAATAAAAAGAAAAAAGACATGTTGAGGGAGAGAATTTATAAAACTTTATAACGAGAAAGAAAACTTTGAAATTACTGAATGGTGGATGAATGAAATATGTCTTACTAAACTAATGACTGCAACATTACTATACAAAGCATGGTAGGTAGAGTAATAAAACAAACTTACGTTTCCAAATAATGATTATAGACACTGAAATGTAGTAGAAACTTACCATCAGGTCTGCCATACCTGTCACGTCTGCTACGGCGAAAGCTGGAGCAACCACTGCCCCCATCACCTCCTCTAGCATTTACATTAAACCTGTCTCTCATTCTGGTTTCCTGCACAAAGCCCCAAGTATCCCATCACTAAGATGGCAAGCAGTAAAAGTGAAAAGATTATATACAGAGTTGTCCAGGTACAGGGGAGTAAAAGTGTATAAAAGAAAATGATAACAGTGGAATGGCAGACCTGTAAAGGGGAAGCCTTTGCTTTTGAGTAAGGGCTGTCTGTGTAAGACAACAAAGATGACAAAATCCATGGAGGTTTTGAGGACTTTTTAAAGGAGTTTAACAAATAAAAGGGTTTTATGGAGCGTAACCACATTTTCCTCTCTGTCGTTAATTTCAATAGACCCACAGTGAGTTCAATTTTCAGCTCATGCCAGCAACCTGCAGA